ACCCACTAGCTACTACAAATATCGGGTCATGTCATATGGCCTGGCCAATGCTCCCTCTGTATTCCAGGGTTTCATTAATGAGGTGTTCTGGAAGTACCCACAACATTTCATCATAAGTGTACAGAAATGATCTCCTCATATACTCCCAGAATGAGAGAGACCATTGTCATCATGTGGTGCTGGCACTCGGCAGACTGATGCGGAGCCGGGATGAGCCATAGGGGTGGAGAAACAAGGCATAGTTGTAGGACTGGAAGGTTATGGCGCAAGCAGGGTGATGACTGACCAAGGCAGAGCCAGAGGAACGAGGGAGCCTGGTGTAGCTTGAGGGATGATGGGCCATGGTGGATACGAAGGGATCCAATGGGTCTACAGGGAGTCTAGGGAAGTCTAGGGCTCAGAGGCTCGAGGTGAAGCCAGGGGATTGACACACCTAGGCGGAGCTGGCAAACTGGCTGAGGGGAGCCAGCGGAGACAGGGCTGAAAAACTGCCTTTAATTTAAAGAGGAGGAGAGAGAAGGAGGCTGGACGAGAACAATGTTGCTAAGGGAGACTTGGAACTGGCTGACAGGGGATTCAGGGCTGTGTGAAACCAGTGGAGCAGGAGATTCAGGGCTGGGTGGAACCTAAAAAGAGTATCTAAATAGAGTATTTAAATGGAGTATCTAAACAGCTGGAGGGGATCGGCAAGGAAGGAGGTTGCTCAAGGGTAGAAACAAGGACAGGAACTGGCTCTGTGTCACTCAAGTCAATTCCACCAAAAGTTCCTCTGGGATGGTCATGGGGACCTGCTCACACATCTGTTTAGACTGCAGAAGCCTCGGGCTCCGGGGCAGAAAATGGCTCTACCACAGGGTCCATGGCAGGCATAGGCTCTGGCTCAGTGTCTGTGGTGGGCTCTGGTTCTGGGTCTGTGGTAGGTAATGGCTCTGACTCTGGGTAGATGATGTCAAGATGGTGGGAGTGGGCTATAGCTGTGCTGTGATGTTGTCCTCCACCTCACCGACCATATACAGATATATGGCCGAACACACTAAAATGTAAATCATTAAAGTAGATATCAATCAAAAACTTTTTGACGTCTCAGGCATTTCTTTGCAAGGGCAAAATCAAATGCATACTTTACCTGTAATAACTGGCATAGTAGATCATGACCGTCATTGGTGATCCTGTAGAACAAAATTGCACAAAACATATTCTAGCTGTAGCTTTCCAGTCTCAATGTTAACAAATTTTAGTAGATTTAATTAGGGTTGGAGCTAAATTCTGCAGAACAGTGTCCCTCCAGAGACAGGTCTGGACACCCCTGTACTAAATACTGAAAAATAACTGCATTCTGGTTTCACGTGTCCTTTTTATGTTGCTTACCCCTTTAGCACAGTGTTTTGAATAGGGGGTTGTATCAATTTTATACAACAGTTCTTTTTCGTTCTCGAATCTGATTGGCTGATAGGAGTGCGATATTAGAGTCCAACAGAGCTCCTCGACCTCTTCACCGTTAGTATCACTCCGCTTGCCGAAGTTGCCGTATTTCTCACAGCGAGTGTCATGGCGGACGCCCAAATCCACGATAGTTTTAAAAATAATGCTGTTTTGTGTCACGAAATGCAGTTTTAAGAGTTTTTTAGGCGAGAATGTGCTTGCTTGGACGTCAAATATGCGGTTTGTTAATAAAGATAACGTCTATTTGAAAATTTGCTTTGACGTTTTCGGAGACGTGAGCTCCAGCGGCCGTTCAGCGCTCATTACACACGCCGAGAGCACCTCACCGCGGCCAGATCTTCTGGAATTTACCGCTGGCTCTGATGTCTCTATAGTGGTTAAACATGAGATATAATTTGTTTTGGGTAAATCTAACGGGCAGTCTTTGTTCTCATTAAATTATTTGTTCCAGAGCAAACAGTTTAAGCAAAATCTTATGTTTATGTAAATTCAATGCTGTATAGCCTACAGTATATCGTGCTGCCTTTGTACGGTTGACTGGATTGCCTAGCAACTTTTATGATGGCTGTTGTTGTTGTTTATTAAATATGATTGTTCAATAAATAATATTTTATATAAATAATATATATTTATTTATACACTATTTATATAATAGTGTTTATTACCGAGACATGGTGCGTGTGTTCGTGATGGTGATTTTATTTACATTGTTCCGCCATTAGATGGCGACAAGAGACTGTTTTTATGAGTCAGCACTGCAGTAAAGACTTTTACATTGAAAAATATGCTTTTGTAAACGGAAGTTATTTTTACTTTCAACAACGACGCAGCTAACAAATGCACTGAGCAGCGCTGTCATCAGAAATCACTCTTAACAGATGAAAGGATATTGACGATACGACAAAGATAACGCTTTCCTCAGTGGACATTCAAACTTATGTTTTATTGTGTGTAGGAGACTGAGATGCTGTATCAGATGCAGGTATCACACTCGCTCAGTCCATCTCTCTCTCATAATACTTTACTCTACATAATACAGCAAGCTTTTACTACAGTAATACAATAAGCTTGAATGAGAAGCAACTCAGCGTTCCTTCGTTACTAGCTCTAAAGTGACGTTTTGGAATTAGTAACGGAGACTGGGGCTCAGCTGTTAAACTGTCAAATTTAGATTTAACTGCGATCCGACGAGTTTGAAAATCGTGCAGTGTGAACTCGGCATTACCGAGACATGGTGCATGTGTTCGTGATGGTGATTTTAGTTACATTGTTCCGCCATTAGATGGCGACAAGAGACTGTTTTTATGAGTCAGCACTGCAGTAAAGACTTTTACATTGAAAAATACGCTTTTGTAAACGGAAGTTATTTTTACTTTCAACAACGACGCAGCTAACAAATGCACTGAGCAGCGCTGTCATCAGAAATCACTCTTAACAGATGAAAGGATATTGACGATACGACAAAGATAACGCTTTCCTCAGTGGACATTCAAACTTATGTTTTATTGTGTGTAGGAGACTGAGATGCTGTATCAGATGCAGGTATCACACTCGCTCAGTCCATCTCTCTCTCATAATACTTTACTCTACATAATACAGCAAGCTTTTACTACAGTAATACAATAAGCTTTCAATGAAGCAACTCATCATTCCTTCGTTACTAGCTCTAAAGTGACGTTTTGGAATTAGTAACGGAGACTGGGGCTCAGCTGTTAAACTGTCAACTTTAGATTTAAATCTGTGGCGGAAGGAAGTAGTTCGGCACAAAAGAGGGCTTTTAAAGACACTCCATTGTTGTTTCTAATTTATTTACACACTTGTGCCGTCAAACTGTTGTATAAACGCAATATCACACTCGTAGAAGTGAGATATGTCTGTATATCGGCATGCTGTGATTACCTACGGCCGAATCACAGCCGTGCCGATATACAGCCATGTCTCGCTTCTACGAGTGTGATATTGCTCATATATTTGTTAAAGATATCTAAAGTAGGTCCACTTTTTGAAAAGTCCAAATTGTCTTATAATATGCAAACATGGAAAAACTGTTTGTAACATGAAAAGCCAACAATAAACAAAAAAGGCTAAATAAAAAAAAATAAAAAAAATCATTGTGGATGTATGTAGTAATAGACTGTAAAAAACATAAATAAAACACGAACAAATCAAAAAACATAATCAAACAGTTTTGCTGTGAATCAGTAACAGTTAGAAAGCAAACTCTTTGCATCAAAACCACTGGTACTATTGGGACAAATGAGCTAAAAACTAAAAGCTTATTAAGTGCATAACGCCAGAGCTCTTACCCAGTATACGAAATATAAGATGAAGTTCATCCTTCACTGTCGAGCCAGGGAAAAGGGGACGTCCTGTGATCATTTCGTAGAATATACAACCTACACCCCTATATCAATAAAAACAAAGCAGAGAGAAAGAAAGAATGAAGTGTCTTTTTAAGAAATGTATAAAAGGCACAAACCAGGCCGAAAAAGGAGTGGGCAGGGTCTCTGATTTTCAGAAGAGCAGACATGTTCTCCAGATTAACCAATGCCAGCAAAACTCTTTGTAGCAAGGAATGAGCTGAAGAGCTTAAATATTCATCAGAGTTACATTCAGTCTGGCACACCTGAACACAGTTCTTTCCTAGTAGGCTTAATTTACATGCAACACTCATGCACAGAATTTTGGGTTTTCTCGGGGGTCTCCAACCCTGCTCCTGGAGCACTACCAACCAGCAGAGTTCAGCTGCACCTTCAATCAAACACTCCTGAACCAGCTAATCAAAGGTGTTCAGGGTTACTTGACATTTACAGGCAGGTGTGATGAGGCAGGGTTGAAACTGAAGTTTGACTCTGGAGGAAGGTAACTATCCAGGAGAAGGGCAAATGCTCATATAGTAAATCCGGCCTAGCCAACAGAATGGGCTGAGAACATTTGTCTAAAGCAGGGATGCCCAATCCTGTTCCTGGAGGTTGGAGTTGAACTTTGTAGGAAGGTAGATCTCCAGGAACAGGATTGGGAACCTCTAGACTACAGTACCTTTGTTAGTTTGTTATGTGTGTGGTCTGTTGGTGTCCCACTTTGCCACAAGTACTTGGCAGTTACTGTGCACATGGCATGATGGTACAGTACCTACTTCACTATTCAAATAGTAGAATACTTATAATAGAAAAAAATTAGCAAATCTGTGGCAAACTCAGAGCAAAAACCAAGCCATGAGGTCAAAGGAACTGCCTGCAGAGCTCAGAGACAGGATTGTGTTGAGGAACAGATCTAGGGGAGACTGCTGCTCAATCACTAAGCACTCTTGCCAAAAAAAAAAAAAAAAAGTTGTGACCTTCAAGTCTCTGCTCTACACTCTAAAAAAAAAATCGTTGAATAACAGTGCTTATCGCTGGGTGACAAGCTCTTGTAATATGCGGAGAACATTCTGAAAATGACATCTAATCAATATAATTTATAATCTTTTTAAACCTAACTATTTTGTACCGTATCCATGAAATTCTCTAGCTGTAAAGGCTATCTCTCTCCCGGGTTTTCTGCAACCATGATGCGCACGCATCCTGAATGTTTACAAACCTATAATTGGTCTATACTGTCTGAAGGAAACCAGGCACTGCTCATCACCTGCACAATACCATCCCAACAGTAAAGCTGAATTTAAAGTCCAAGTTTAGATTAACAGCTGAGTATGTTGAACCAAACTATTTAAATAGGAGTAACTGCCTGATGATTAAAAGTGAACACTATTAAGTCATTCTCAGATTAATTCTAACAATGGAACCACGTGAGAGGAACTGTCGGGAGACTTATTTCTTTGTACAAAGTAGGACAACGTAAGAATACCAAATCATTGTTTTGAGTGTGAAAATCATGGCAAAAGTAATACAAAAATGGCCTTGTTACGAGGTTCCTGAAATAACCAAGACTACATTGTTTTGTGGTGAGTCTCAGAGCTGGAAAAGCTATGAAAGGTGTGGGAATTTCGTCTTACAGTAAGATGTAACCTGTAGTAGTGAAATGCATGGTTGCTGTCCACACAAGACGTACTTATGTGGCCAAAGAACAAAACTGCAGTTACTGTAGCCTTTTCCAAGGCTCATAATAATACTCTAGTCTCATTAGACCAAGTAAATCATTTTGGATATAACAGCATGTACAATGCTATGGAGTTGCTAGAGGAGAAGTACAGCGAGAAGTGCTTGGCTGCCACAGTGAAGTTCAGTGTGAATGCTGAAGGTGTGAGGGAATTGTGCTTTATCAAGGATGTCATAAATTCACACATTTAATACAAAATGTTGAAATAGAAGGTGCTACCTTCTCCTCATTCCCTGCATTGTTGGGCTACATTCTCCCAAAGTGTAAAAGCTTTTGTGGACAAATATTTCACCTGACCTTAACACTCTTGAGCACCTGTCTTGACTTGAGCAACACTCCCCATTAAAGATCAGGCTGTTTAAGGAGTTAATAAGGATAGATGTGTTAATTTGTTGTGAACTTGTGCACGCAGTGCAAAGAAGGGTCAGAATAGTATACCTAAAGTTATGGAGGAAAACGTTTGTTGAATTTAATTAAGAGTGTACTCATTTTTGCAACCCTTCGTTTAAGCAAGATTGCCTAATTCACTTACTTTACAGCTATCGATTACATGCTTTTCTTTGTTTTTATTAAAGGGGCCATAAAATGGAGAATCAAAAAGTCCTATATATTTACACATGAGAGACTACTCTACAATAACAACATACTGCAAGTTTCAGAACTCAAATCTAACTACCCAGTTTAAGATATGAATGATTCTTTTCTACCCTTCTGAAATGCCTGGATTTGAAATCAGGAGAATCTCCTCAACATGGCCCTTAACACATTATCATTGTGGTTGCATTGTTTCAATTTCTTGAAACAAACAAACCTGAAACCAACACAGTGACGTAGTTTGTTCAATTCTAAGATCAATCAGGGAGAGCAGCGTCTGCCACCGAACTGTGGACAGAGTGAAAGCTGACTTAACACGTGTCTGCGTGACAGACTAGTGACTGAAAGCTGTCTTAATGCATCTGTCCGTCAGAACTGAAAGCTGACTAACATGTGTTTGTGCAACATAACTGAAGGCTGAATTAACGTTTGTCTGTGAGACAGACTAGCGCGTTTCTGTGCAACGGAAAACAAAAGCTGACAACGTGTTCTGTGCGACAGCTAGAACCCAAGGCTGATTTAACGCATTTTCTGTTCAACGAAACTGAAAGTTGATTTAATGCGTGACGGAATTCGAGCTGTTTTAGTGCGTTTCTGTATGACAGAACTGAAGCTGATTAAGCACATGTCTTTGCGACAGACTAAGGGAAGTGTGAGTATGGATGAACTTATATATCTTATTTAATTGTAGTGGGAAATCACAAATTACAATCAGCTGAGCATACGGTAGTTTATCCAAACTTGAGAATAAGGTATGAAGTTTCCTACAAACGTTCATCATTTGACTAGTGTTTATGAGATGGCCTGAACGTGTAAGTGTGTATGTGCATCTCACCAGATGTCAAGAGAGGTGGAGTAATCTGTTGACCCCAGCAGCACATCAGGAGGTCTGTACCAGAGAGTGACCACTTCATTCGAGAATGTCTTTGTGGGCACTGACTTTGCACGCGCAAGACCTACAGTAGACACAAACAAACCATTAAACTCCACACTGTACGATTAATGTATGTTTGTGAATATGTTCTCTGTTAATTAAGAGATAAGTATTTGGGTATGTGAGCGATTGGGCCTACCAAAGTCAGCAAGTTTGAGCTCTCCCCTGTCACTGATGAGAAGGTTCTGAGGTTTTAGGTCTCTGTGCAAAACTTTCTGCCGATGGCAATAAGCTAGACCTCGCAATAGCTGAAACAGGAAAATCTATAAGGTGGCAACAAAGAGTACAAAAAATCATTCCAAAATCAGGTGCTTACCGCTGTTGTAAACCTTACTTCCAAAATATTTTAATAATGTGCATTTAACAATAAACTTGACTACACAGAGGCTAATGTGTGTATATGGCTTTGCTTTTGTTGATCCTTTATCTACATGGCAGCCGCTTGTTCTCTCCTTGATATATTTTTTCCCTGTTTTCTCGTTTCTTTTGCAGCAGCTAGAGTTCTTACTAGAACCAGGAAGTATGACCATATTAGCCCGGTTCTGTCAACACTGCACTGGCTCCCTATTAAATATCGTATAGATTTTAAAATCTTGCTTATTACTTATAAAGCCCTGAATGGTTTAGCACCTCAGTATTTGAACGAGCTCTTGTTACATTATAGTCCTCCACGTCCGCTGCATTCTCAAAACCCTGGCCATTTGATAATACCTAGAATATCAAAATCAACTGCAGGCGGCAGATCCTTTTCCTATTTAGCGCCCAAACTCTGAAATAACCAACTAACATTGTTCGGGAGACAGACACACTCTGTCAGTTTAAATCTAAATTAAAGACCCATCTCTTCAACCTGGCATACACATAACACACTATAATTCAAATCCATTAAAGGATTGTTAGGCTGCATTAATTAGATCAGCCGGAACACTTCCCATAACACCCAATGTACTTGCTACATCGTTAGAAGAATGGCATCTACGCTAATATTAGTCTGTTTCTCTCTTATTCCGAGGTAACCATTGCCACCAGATCCAGTCTGTATCCAGATCAGATGGTCACTGCAGTCACCCGGATCCAGTACATATTCAGACCAGATGGTGGATCAGCACCTAGAAAGGACCTCTACAGCCCTGAAAGACAGCGGAGACCAGGACAACTAGATGAGCCCCAGATACAGATCCCCTGTAAAGACCTTGTCTCAGACGACCACCGGGACAAGACCACAGGAACCAGATGATTCCTCTGCACAATGTGACTTTGCTAGCCTGAAATTGAACTGCTGGTTTTGTCTGGCCAGAGGAGAACTGGCCCCCCGACTGAGCCTGGTTTCTCCCAAGGTTTTTTCTCCATTCTGTCACCGATGGAGTTTTGGTTCCTTGCCGCTGTCGCCTCTGGCTTGCTTAGTTGGGGACACTTCATTTCCAGCGATATCGTTGACTTGATTGCAAATGATTGCAAAGATACTATTTAAACTGAACTGAGCTGGATGATGACATCACTGAATTCAATGATGAACTGCCTTTAACTGAAAAAAGTGTTTACTATTGTCATTTTGCATTATTGACACACTATTTTCCTAATTAATGCTGTTCAGTTGCTTTGACACAATCTGTATTGTTAAAAGCGCTATATAAATATAAAGGTGACTATATCTTTATCCCGGTTTTCTTGTTTCTTTGCTAGTTTCGCTCTGTATCCTCCTGCTTGTAATACCTAGAGTATTAAAAGGTACACCATATTTTGCACTATATTGTTTGTGCACTATATTCCTCAACTATATTCCGTCTTCTGAAGCCATATAATGGATTTGCCTGATAAAGAAACTGAAATTTTAATTATGCAGAGAAAACCTTCCCCTCTGCCTTAGTCTGTTCAGAAGAAGCTGTGTTGTGCAAGGTTTGACGTGAATGATGACAAACCTCGTTGGTATTGGACAGTGATGAATGCAGTCATGAATCATTTAACTTTGAAAGCTACTGCGAAAAGGCACTGTTTTGCTTCCATTTTGTTGCCTGTTTTAATTTGATATGTTTAATTCATTATTTTAAATTTATTTTATTATCTATTTATTTTATTAAATCGATGCCTTTGTTTCTGTAGCTAAATTCTGCTACAAAATAGTTTTTTCTCCTCAATGACTTTCCCTCATGCATGACTTTTTTAGTATTATTTGTTAAGGATAATAAACACACTCATTTTAAACTAAACTTAAAAGCTTAACATGTTTTAAACAGTTATAGCTGGCAGATATACAGTATGTCTTCGCCCCTAACCTTTACATTGTAAACGCTCATTATGCTCCCACAGTCATCCAAATACTGTTTGAGGTCCCTCTCCTGGAAAAGACAGAGCACAAATGAATTGGAATTAGGTGGACAAAATTAGATGAATAAAATATATGTGCGTCACCCACCAAGTACTCGAAGACTAGTGTAAGGCACTTCTCTGTGTGAATGATGTCGTGGAGGGTGACAATGTTGGCATGTTTCAAGTTCTTCAGAAGAGACACTGACAGAGAGAGAAATATCATCACATCAAATCAGCATCAATTAAAACGTCACAAGAAGTGATCATTCTCTACACTTACAGCCTGGCACTGTTGCTGTAGTCTACTAGGAAAATTGTGTTAAATAATCCCAAGAGCAATATACATGCATTAAGAATACTAGAGTCTTGAGTACACTTGTATATCTACCAAGTCACTAAATGCTATCTAGTCAAATTTTGGTTTTAATAATTGCCAAACACAAATAAACATTTTTTTTCCATAAACAAATCAGTCTCAGCTAGAAGCTGCATTGAACGGTACACTCTAAACACCAGCTTTATCTATGAGACTGAAGGCAAAACTCTCAGATTCTGCAGGTAAAATATCCCAAATAAAGATTAGACGGTAAATTATTTGAAATGAGCATTATGGGTGGATGAACTAAGTGACCTACAAGCCAAATACCTATGGCAAGTACTTCAGAAAGCACAAGATGAAAACTGTATGCAGGATTCTTTGATGCAATGATACGGCATTCATTAGAAACTGATCCAAATTTCTAAAGACGTCTGTAAACACATTTTTAGTTATTTTCAATCTATTTAATGCATCCTAAAAGCACTGTACCTTCTCGTATGGCGGTGCAAGGTGCGCCTTCTTCATACTCCAGCCTGATTTCTTTCAGAGCCACTAGATTATCCGTTAGTTTACTACGACCCTTAAACACTGTTGCATATGTGCCCTGCACACCGACAAACACATACAATATGCTGTTCAATGGCATTAATGATGTGTAATGGCCTTTGCATTTATATAAAAAGACAAGCTGTCAAATTATCAGAAAAGAACTAAGACTGTCTTAACCAGTGCTGGGGTAACACATTACAAGTAATGCCAGTTACGTAACCAGATTACTTTTTCAAGTAACTAAAACATTACTTTTTAATGTACAAGAAAATATCTGAGTTACTGTTTCCTCATTTATTGACCGGCAGCTCTCCTGTCGCCATGATGAGAGAAATCAGGAGCTGTGTGAATGTCAACATGCTTTTTACAGTTTTTATTCATTTTGAGGAATACTGAATCTGTTTTTGTGCAAATGAGATGAGTAAATGCAAACAGAATATAACGCAAACCTGCGATAATTAAATGTTAACACAAAACTATTTATGCATTTAATCCCATTTTATTAACCAATGTCTTTCCTGCTGACCTTCAATGATCCAATTCAACCATACTAATAAGCAAAAATGACTTTAGATAAACATTTGTTTACATTTTTTTTGTGTGTGTGATTGAGAAGAATGCGTTGAAATTTCTTCCCTTGCATCCTATTCTTCATGCAATCTAGAACGGCAGCACAGCTGAAAGGTTTGTTTGAGCTTTTCACTTTTGGTTTGAAAGGCCTTTTACATTTGCCAAAAATAAAACTTCTTTATATTAAAAATAAACAAGCAATCCCAGGCTAGATGCGAAAAAGTAATACGAAAGTAACAATGCATTACTTTCCACAAAAATTACACAATTAGTTACTTTTTTTTAGGGAGTAATGCAATATTGTAATGCGTTACTTTTAAAAGTAACTTTCCCCAACACTGGTCTTAACACATTCTCCTAACAATATGATCAAAAGAAACAAGGCAACATAAGAATAACCCACTCCATTTACAACATTTTAAACACTACTATTCAAAGGTCAAACACTCACGCATTTTATTCATTTCATTTGAAACTGTATCACAAACTGTGGTAACATTGTCTAGTGTGCAGAGGATTTGAGATGGTCAGTATCTCACCTCTCCCACTTTGTCCAGTTTGACATACGTCTCTAATTTGCCAAATCCGATTTCTGACTGAAAGGAAAACAAATCTCAGTAATTAGCTGGAAAGAGATGTATCATCAATAGGACTTTGTTAGCAATGCGGTTTCACTGAAAGACGAGGCATATGATTTTTTGTCTATGACATAATGTAAACATTAAAAGAAAGTGTAATGAACCTTAAGAGATCTGACTTTCATAGTTCTTCGTGTTTATGTATCGATTTATTATATTTATGTACAAGAAAGAAAGGAAGGAAGGTGCATAGAATAAATTCTATGAAACAATTAATATAACACTATTTTTTATACTACACTATTTTTCAGCATTAAGGACTGTTCACACCAGCATGAAATTCCGGTGCGATTTGAAAAAATGAAAAAAAAGAGGGCAGAATGAAAATGCAATTTCACTCAGAAGTACAGCAGTACACAAGGACAACAGTATAATATGCTATTTGTTTATCAAGATGATAATATGATTTTTTTTATTGATTTTCTTATTTTTGTTTCAGTATTTGTGTATGACTGCTATTTGTTATAATTTTTTATACTACACTATTTTTCAGCATTAAGGCCTGTTCACACCAGCATGAAATTCCGGTGCGATTTTCGCATGCGATCAATGAAAAAAAAGAGGGCAGAATGAAAATGCAATTTCACTCAGAAGTACAGCAGTACACAAGGACAACAGTATAATATGCTATTTGTTTATCAAGATGATAATATGATTTTTTTATTGATTTTCTTATTTTTGTTTCAGTATTTGTGTATGACTGCTATTTGTTATAATTGCCTTAATTGTTGTCATTGTTCAAAATGTTGAAATAAAAACACAAGGGCAGCACTGCAACTTTCTAATCTTATGAAAAAACAGCATTTACATGTTTTCAGACAGCCAGTAATGTTCTGCGTGACTGTCAGTACGTTTTTCCAGGAGCAAGAATCCCTGCAGCATTCGTCTGATGCATCACGAAAGTATTTCACAAAGTTCAGTGTTCCAATATTCTACAACGAGGCAACACCAGCAAAACTAAATGTAATCTGTACTAAAACAAAACAGAGAACACAGATGAATGAGAGGCGGAAAAAAACACTCTTCCAAGTACCAGGATGACGGCTCCATATATAGACAGGTAGACATTAGCCACTTGACCACACTTAATGGTCGTGGGGCTTTTGCAACACTGAAGAACAAGACCACACAACGAATATGAAGGAGTAAGTACAAGCAAGGGGAGAACAATAACAATAAGATTTATTTAAGGAAGAATTAGGGAAGACAGAATAAATATTGCTTCCCTTATGTGGCAACGCTACAGTGCCCTCACTGGGTTTAGATTTCCTCTTTGTGAGAAAATGTGAGGATTTTTACAATGTTCTTTTATTTTAACTGGTATGGAACACCCCTATTAAGTCAATTCCCAATGCATGTCCTGGCTCTGTGACTTGGGTGCTCTGGGAAAGCTGCTGGGTTTGGAGTTGTCTGGCTTGTATTTTTGGCAGACGCCACAGTTTGTTAGTAGACTACAGGTGAGTGATGGTATTGTCATTGATTTGGGCTTCTGAAATTTTGGCTAATGTGCACTTATGCACACTTAGGATGGTTGATGGAGAAACAGGGTGAAGCTTCTATTTTTAGAGGCATGAAGATTTGTAATAACGTGAAGCCTTCAAATTCCATCCTTTCCAGGTAATGGCTCCACATAGTCCACACCACTGCTAAACACTTTTCAGAGGTGGAATAATTCCACTCTGTTGCCCATAATGCCTTTTAACTTTTATGTCACTAGCGTTCATGTGGACATGGAACGGTTGGAAAAACTTGGACTGGGTGAGGACCAGTGGATCTTGAAGATCCTGCTTGAGAGCATTCATACATAAGATATTCATGTATATTTATTTATAAAAACAAAGCAAATCTTTCCACTCAGTTCTGTTAGAACCTTTTCCAAAAGCCTCTGGAATATGACAACAGCATTGCAGAGTCCATACGGCATAGACTTGAATTGGTATAGCTGTTTAATTGTGATAAATACTGTAACTTCCTTACTCAACTCATCAATGTCCACCTGCCAGTACCCTGATTGCAGATCCAGCGTACTGAACCAGAAGGCCCCTTCTGTTCATTCAAGCATGTCAAGTATCAGTGGCATTGGGTACACATCAGTGATGGTCTTGCCATTGACTATTTGGTAGTCCATGCAGAACCTGTACGAACCATCAGGTTTGGGGACCACGGCCACAAGGGAGGACCATGGGAGAGAGAGAAGGCTCAGTGATGTTGATATTGTCTTTTAACACCTGTTCTACCTGTTCTTCAATGATTTTCTTTTTGATATTTTGATATTAAGTTTGGAATTTGATTGGCATGTCATTCCTTAGGATGATCTAGTGTCCTAGCCAAACAATTATAGGTGATGTTAGGCAAGGTTGACGTTAATCACTGTAACTCCTCCTAGTTGTCTGAATCGCATATTGGACCAACTTCTGAAGTCAGGGAAGCTAGATTTGGAAATAATTCTACTGTAAAACAGCTCATGACAACAGGGTCATTATTCAGCACCAGTCAGTCCAGTGTTGATTCATTTTAGTTCAGTAACTGTGTTAAATGGAAAGGGTGGTAGATGTATCCTCTCTCTTTGTTTTCAGGCCATAGAGGCTGGTTCTGACATCCAGGATAGCACCCATGGTACCAAGGAAATCCAAGCCTTTGGACAGGAGTAATGTATGTGTCCACCTAACAGTCTGTACCCCTGCCATGTGTAGATAATGGACTTGTGTCTGGCTTGGTAAACCTTTCCATCAGCCATAATAAATCTTTGTGGAAAAAGAGCAGTGACTGATGGAGGGTCCTCACCTAGCTGTCTCTATAGGTGCTATCAGTGTGCAACATTGCTTTTATTGCCTTTTCTTCCATCATAATGGGCACCAGGAGTAGTGTTGTGAAATCATGATGTTGGTCTATGGAGACTCTGGTCAGGTTTTTGGAACAACTACGGTCAAACGGCTTCTTGTTTGTCTTCTCTATACTTTTTTGATTCCCCACCTCTTGTGAGTAGCCTTTCGCTCTTATGCAATTCTTCTCCACCAAGGATTCAATTTTGACCAATTCTTCCACTGTGTTCACTGAACCTCTTTGGGTGTCAGCAACCCTGGTGTTGATGTTATTGAGAATGCAGCTCACCAGTTCCTCCTCTGAGATATCAGGTTTCCACTTCAATCAGAGGGCCCAGTAGTCCATAGCAAATGCTCTCAGCTGCCAGCATCCTCAACTTATCCTCTACCTTCGTCAGGTTGTCATCTGAAAAGCAGCCATGAGAGCTTTTGAAAGATCTCAGATAGAAAGTGGCCTACGCATAATACCAAGTTGTAGCTCTGACTGTTTTTAAATAGTAATTTTGGCAGCCCCTGAAATGGCATTTACCTAAGCAGTTTAAGTAAATACGCTATAGCACTCATTCAAGGATGTGCTTTTCATTGCTTAAACAGAGCAAGAACCTGAAGAGTGTTCGACTACAAGTCTGTCTGATTTTCTTCATCTGACTATCCCATTTCTCATCGCTAGGAAGCAAACAATCTATGACTGCCCTCTCAAGTTTCTCCAGGAATTCTTCATCCTTGCTAAGCCAGTGATCCATGTCAAGCCACCATCCACAACTTCTCTAAGACTGGTTTCCTAGTTAAAAGTACTGTGTATAGACTGTCCTTTTCTATTTTTGTTCAAGTTCAAGTTCAAATACTTTATTGTCATTCTAGCCTTTCAACAAGTGTCCAGCAGAACGAAATTGCGTTTCTCCGAGCCCAATGCTCAATGTGCATAATAGTGCAAACATAATAAAAAAAAAAAAAAAACATAACATACATCAGCTTGCTAACTGGAGCTGCTTTAGTGATCACGCATCAGTTGTCTCTCAAAGGTAAGGCAGCAGCAGACGTTGCTTAAGTTGCAATAGATCCCAATCCACTAACGTTACACTGAAGTTGCAAAACACCTCAATATTATCTATGATTTCCGCAATGTGGAAAACGCGGACGGAATCCAGTCATGGAATTTACTGTATGACGCGGAATGTCACAGAATTTGTCAAAGTTTGGATGAATTAATCAAAAGTAGGTCAGTACACTTAAATAGAGTCGCAATATGGACTAGTATCTGTAAATATTAAGCCGCAAAAATACTATTTAAATATGGATCCAGCATGTTCTGCGTGTCTCTGTGTATGTAAATGGCACAGACGCGCGGTGTTGTTTTCTACACATACAAAGTGTGCAACGCTCGCGGTGATTTCAGCTTCTGTCGTATCACTACATGAGGACATAAATACATCAACACCATCTACAGAACTGCTCTGACTCCCTCTGAGAGTCACTTCATGAG